GATTGACAAAGTTCAAGCCTAGATTTCATTCTTCTTTTTTATACCCCTGTCTACAGTGTCTTCTACTGTTGTACTGCAGACACTCTCCTACAGCAACTTACCTAACACTGCATTTTGGACCTCAGACTCACCCTCAGGAGCACAGACTGCATATAAAGACAGCTCCAAAGTTAGGCATTATGAATATCCCCTTACATCTAAAACAGCAAGACACATTCTGTAGCACTTCCTTTCCAACGAACTTTTCTGTTTCTGCTCAGTGGAAAGTCTAGAGGCCAGAGGGGAACAAGGTAGAGCAAGCAAAGAAATCTCAGCCAACAGTCTCTTGTTGCCTACCCACAGGAAGGCAGGAAACTGAAAAACTGAGCAGGGAGGAGCCTGGATGCCAAAAAAGCAATTCTCTATAGATTGGCCCTTTGCCTGAAAGACAGAAGGAGGAACACGCAGTGTCTGCACTGGCACAAGCTACATACCAGAAAACTGAAATTTAATCCATGCCAAGTTACACTTTGAAAAGCTAAATGTACGTAGGCCAGTGAAAACAAAATTAGATAGGAGTTCAGAGCATGAAAAATTAATAAAACAAGTTTAGTTTTGCATGAAAGTCAGCTTAGAAAGACAAACTAAAAGTGAAAGGGGGATTAAGAAAAATGTTCATGCCAAGAATCAGATGGAAACAGCCATTAACACAGTCGCTAAGCTGTTCAAGAGAGTGTTCAGGAGAACCAAGAAAATACAGTATGGATCAAGTCATCTCCATTTGCACTGCATCTTTCAAAGTATACTTCAAGTAATTATTTATGTAATTATTCTGAACATAGCAAAACTGAGATGAAAATGTTACGGTGGCCGTTGTATCTTCACCTTTTAAGCTGAATTTATTCTTTCTAGTTATAGTAAAGAGCTGTCTTAAGTAAAGTATAAGTAAATAAATAGCCTACAAACACCTGCTTCTTCAGGTTTGTAGTCACACAGCATTTGTGCTCAGGAGTTGGCTAACCCCTGTGACCTAGTAGGTTTCATGCAGCTCCCAAACTGCAGAACCTTCCCAGCGCTTGTCCAAGTGACAAGGAAGAACACAGTGCACGTGTGCACATCCACACAAAACACACCCCCAATATTGCCATTCTACAGCTGACACCATTAAAGATAAATTAAACACCCATCTAAAGACTAATACAACTTTTAAATACCACTTTACTGCTGCATTTCCAGAAGTGTATTTTAATTCATTAAAGGCTTCTCAAAAAGCTAAGTATCTCTCAACAAGTTCAGGTTGATTTTCCTCTCTGTTCACACCCTTTCCTACTATGTTATCAGTTTTTACACTGCATTTTCTGATTAACATACTCATACAGCCCTTTTCAGAAGATGTTGGGTGAGAGAAGGTGTGAAGCACATGAGAAGGTATCTATGCAAGATACTCTGAACATAAGGAAGAACACATACGAGCAGTTAAATTGTTAAAAGTAACTATGCACTGCAATATAGTAAATGCACAAGATCAAACTACTAGGTAACAAATTTCCTTCCCCCCCCCATATTTCCTGTGTCTGTGGTTTTTGGTTTTTATCTGCAGGAAAGAAAAAAAAAAATTACAAGTCTTCATCCTAAAGGACACCACTGTTTTCAGTTTCCACCTCTAGCTGGAGGCTGGTCCTTTAAACACACCAGTTTAACACTTTAGAACAGGCATCTTTTGAAGTGCTTTCATTCAAGTTACCTGTCTACATCAAGTAAGCATCCACCTTAATGTAACCACCAGAATATTCTGGATAACTGCGATGTCCCTTTGAAATATAATTTAGACCACTCATTACACTTTATATCAGGTACAGCCTAGATACTGTATACTGTTGAGAGCTACTGACCTTTCAATGGAATATGTCTGGGATCTGTCCTTCCTGTGAGCCTTGTGCTTGCATTTCTTCACACAGAAGCGAAAAAGCAAACCTCTACACACACTAGGGAATAGAAAGGGGTGGAGGAATAAAAGATCTTAACAGCTGCACTGCCTACTTCTTTGCCCAAATCTGAAGAGTCAGGGTATCACTTGAAGGAAACACCATCTTTACTCAAATGTTTCCTTCCAGGACTATGGATAACAGGAAGAAACACTGCAATACAAGCTACATTGCTGTAACTACCTGCAGCTATTTCTACATCTGATGAAACAAAAATCGCTCTATCTAGTTGGACTGGAGTTAATATGAAGACAAGAAAAGCAGCTCCATATCATCAACACCAAGAAGAAAATCTAGCACTTTAAGTTCCCTGTTCCATGTAAGTATTTCATCGAATGCAAAACACTCAACACCCCTGCAACACAGTCAAGGCTCCAGGTCTGCAAAACTAATGTCAGTGGCACTGCACTGCAATAGTACCTGTCTTCTCAGTGCATTAGATACTTCAATGCCTCTGGGGGATGGGGGGAGAAGACAAGAAAACCCCTACAAAAACAAAAAGCACCCCAAAAAACTCAGGCAAAAACAAAACACCCCCACAGGCAGTACTATCTCTCTTCCCATCACCTTTTACTCGGGAAGAAAGGTTCAAAGCCTGCATCTGGTACTTGTGTGAAAGTTCAGATTGCCAGAGGGAACTCTGATGCACTTCTAATGTACTAAATCTTTTAACTGTCATCTCGACGAGATATTAATTATGCATTAAAAAAGTCAACATTATTCAAACTTTTGCAGTTACCTAAACAGATTTCTGCACATCCTCCTGTTCTTTTTTCTCCTCAAGGAGAATAAAAAAGATACTTGAACTTTACCTCTAGTAACTAAAACCAAAAAAACGCAAACAAACAAGCAGCTCTTACTGTCCTAGCTATACAAACTGCCAAAGAAACGCTAAAATACACCACTCTCTTCAAAGATTAGCCATTCCTGAGAGATGCCAGTTGGCTGCATTTTACTGTATAAAATTCAATACATAATCTTGACATGCCCCATACTGACACTAAAATACTTCCAATAAAAACGGCCTAAAAGTTTTCCTGCATCGTCATTCTCCTTATTCATGAATTATCAATTTCAAATGAACATGCAGTCATGTAATAGACACCTATGTACAGTTACTTTCACAACTGCCCTTTAAGTGTAAAGCCATACAGCTTGAAGACCATCAAAAATCATACATACAAACTTGGTTTAAATATATTTATCCAGTAACCTGTGTCACAACTAGCACAACAAAGCAGTGCACTACACTGATATGCAATTACTAATTCGCCAATCTTATATCAAAACTATTTCTGTCAGGAAAAAGTGCATGCCGAACCATTTTTAAACACGCAAATCACACTGCTAATTTTGAAGCACCCAAATGAAATCTTCTTTCTTGCCAAAGCACTTGCTACGGAACAGATTTGTTTGGCTAACTTCTAAAAGACAGATTTATCCTTATACCAGTATTTCAGTACAGCAGTAATGGCTTTTTCAGCACTGTGACCCAAGTAACATTCCTTGCAATGGATGCCAGTCCCAGTAGGTAGCCTACCAAAGGAGATTTTTGCTTCCACAGAATTCACGTGAAGCATCATACTATTAAACTATTTTGGTTGCTTGGTAGTCCCATCTTCAATTTTTTCACATCACTAGAGTATCAGAATTACAGAAGAATCTCTGAAAGTACTTCAACAGCTTTATCGCTACAAGTAATTAAATCTTTATATGGACGGCTACAGCAGTAGTCACACAGTAAGCAACACCTCTGAATTTCCATTCTGATTTTTAAGAGTGCAAAGCTCCATGCATCCTTCAAATACCTGAGAAGTCCAATTTGACAGAAATAGATATCCATATATAAAAGGAACCATATATTTAGAGAAGCTCACAAAAATCAACCCACAGCTACCAACATTTGTAGTTTACCTCTGACATTTCCACAAACACCTGTTCCTGTCTACACCACTAAATATTTCTAACACAAGAACTTTCTACTCTGCATCCTTCAGTGCCTTCCACTCTTTCCTTCAGATGAAGGAAAAAGGCAAGTGAAAACCAATGATGCAGTTTCTAGGAGACACTAATAGCACCTCTAACTACAGCAAAATTGTCTGGATTATTCCATGTCAAAAAGAGCTGCTACCAAACTTTCCCACTAATAGTGGGAAAAAAACCCCAAAACAAAAAACCCCACAAATCTCCAACTTACAAATAGTCAAACTAACCCAATTCAAATAGAACAGGTAGCCTTTTTTTTCCCCACAAATACACTGAAAACTCAAAACACTTTATCTTACTAAATGGGGAATGATCAAAGAATGCCTACAGACATGTCTTTGACACTATCCTTTCAAAAAAACACTAATTGACACCTCCTTCTCCCTCAAGGCAAACCATGTGAATAATTAACCTAAAACCAAGGCCCAAGAAATAGCAAAAACAAACCTGTGTAGGAGTCCAACAAAACTGAAATAGGAGGAGGATTCAGCAGTTTAGCTCAATTTGTCACTCTGACATATTCCTAGAATATTTACATTAACTCCAGTTCCTATTAACTGTAGTTTGAAAGCTAAGTATCTATATACCAATATCCTTACAAATAATAATTCTAACAGTCTTCAATATCAAGGGTTCTACTTGCAGTATTTCAGGTGGGGTTCAAACTACAAGAAAATCAGTACACCCAGGCATAAAATAAAGGCAAAAGGCCACAATCAAATCACATTGTAGATTTCAACAATGCCAGTCTGCTAGGCAAGACAGAACAATCTGACACTTAGACATCTATGCTCTTTCCTGATGCTCTGTTCATCTACTGAAAATCCAAAGAGCAAGCTATTCAACACAGAACAGCAGGACATGGGGAGCTAAAGTAAACTTCCTTTAGTGGAATTGATTCTGTATGGATCTTTGACATGCATCCTCACTTACATACCTTTAAAAGGCTAAACAAAGCAAGGAAGATTCATTATTTATGCATTAGGTAAATAAACAAAGAACAAGAATCATTTCTGCATTACTACATTTGCTCTCACTTTTCAGACTTACCTGGTCTTTTTCATGCGGTAGAAGGCTAACAGGTGGAAGAGAAGCTGGGAAAGTGCTGGAGTATTTTGGAACTCCTTTGCTTTCCAAACTGCCATAATTCACTCTATATTGAGGTCCATCCTTCAGTAATCTCCCGTTGTTCACAGCACGTTTGGCCCCCAGACGCAATCTCTGCTGAAAGGCAGGATTGTTGAAAATATTTGCTAGGTCATTCTGACTTCTCAAATACTTCTCTATGTTTTTCAGGGAGGAGCCATTTGGTTCTTGAAGCCCTTCAATTGCTCTTCTCAAGAGTTTATTCCAATCCACATTACGAAGTTCATTACAAGCTCCTCTAGATCCCTTAACAGATTTAGGAATAGTGCCAGGTTTAACAGATGAAAACCGTCCAGGATTATCTGGGTCCTTGTAGGATGCAAGGCCTTTGTTGGTAACTTTAAGAATAGAACCATCTTGAACACTAAGTTCCAACTGTTCTGAAACAGTCTTCTTATCTAATCCATGGGAAGCACAAACAGCATGACATATTCTCTCTTCAGAAGGCCTTTGCTTTTGCTTTTTAACTTTCTGTATAGCTTCAAGAATCCACTCCGTATAAAGAGGGTTGGCAAGTTTTACCATGGTTGACCAGTAATTGTTTCCAGCCAAGGGTTACCCATAGAGGTTCCTCCTTATCCTTTTCCAAGATCTTTCAGAGGTTGTTCACACCTCAAACACAAATCAAAGGATTCCACATTCTACTTGGATGCATCTCAAAAATATCCATCCCAAGTCAGAAAAGGCAGGGAAATACCTGCTGATTGAAACTTCCAATTACTTTACCGTTATGGAAAGGTAGAAGGGATTCATTCGTGATGATACTGGTACATCCTTATAAGAAAGTCTGTTGCAACCTTTAAAAAGAAAAAAGAAGAGGCAGGAAGAAAATAGTTAATGCTGAAACAGTAAAAAGAAACAGAACAAATTCAGACATGCATTCATACCGTAGATGCTGCAGCATGCAAAAATCTGTGAAGTATACGAAATGTTCGCCAATTCCCACGCTACACCAAACAAGTAATCATAAAATCCTTCCACACTTCTCATAACATTGAGTGGATTTAGTTTTCCTAAATTCCATCACCCCAGAACTTAACCTACCGAGTTGTTCAACAATTCCCATTCAGCCAGAGATCTGAACATATTCTCTAAAACACAGTGCCTACAAATAGACCCACTGGTATAAGAAAATTACTATCTACATGGATTATACATGCACTAAGAAAAAAAAAGAGAAACAACCAACAACCCCCAACCAATAAATGCTAAATTACTAACCACTGCCATTTCTTACAGAATGTTGTCTGTAAATGCCATGCCATACGCTGATTATACAGCTTGGAAAAATAAAAAACTAAGTATCAGAACCGAGTTACTAGTATTACATCCTTCATTAATACCTAAATACACTACAATACAGAAAGGAATCACAAAGGCACTTCTCATTCTAAGGTGTGCAGCAGAGGCATGCATTTTTGATGCAAACTCTTAGAAACTGACATGAAAATGAAGTAACAGGAGGGATTTTCACAGAAATAAGCTGTCAGCATGAAGACATATAAAGACGCCACATTGACAAAATGTTTTGGTGACTCACTGTTTTTCTTTACTTATTATAGAATATACCACTCCAATAGAAACTTCAGTGGCTACAAAAACTTACACAAGAAACCTGAAAGCACATTTTGATCAGGACTGATTCATTCCTCAGGTCAATATATGGGGGAAAAAAATTTAAAAAATAAAAACACCATACAGATTGAACTAAGACAGTAGTCACCTAATGAAGAAGTAACTCTATTTGAGGTATTAGTTTTCAATGCCATGAAATGTGAGAACTTTTGAAGACATTAACAGAATTGTATAATTACTTCAAATCAAAGGAAAAAAAATAAACACCAGAAGAGGAAAATATTAATTCTCAATAAATAGTTTGTTTTGTAAAATAGAAGATTCACCAGTTTCACAGGAAAACTGAGTCAAGCTGGAACTATGTTTATAAAGCTATGGCAAGCAGCCTGTAACTAACAATAATATTTTGGATTTGTCTTGGACCTTATTTTTATTCATTTATTCAAGTCATCTTGCAATTTCAGTCCTGTTTAAAACTTGAGTAAATTATAAATAGGAAAAAACCCTGAATTGATGCAGTAATCTAAATTATTTTCAATTTGTTAAAAAGATTCCTCTGCAGCTGTGAAGAGGATGAGTACAAAACCCACCACTGGTCCCATACCTTCTCCTCCCTCTACCTCCTCAAAAAATCTCTTTATATTTAAACTCCAGATCATGTTTCACAAATTATTATACCTACACAACAGGATTAGTAACAAAAGAACAGCAGATTATTGGTGAATATAAAATTGCTCTATACCCAAACAGTAGAAATATTAATCAATTCATTTTATTAATTTGTCATTCTCTAGGTTTGATTGAAGATTAAGCATTTTCAGATTTATAAATATGAAATTTCAACTGATCAACAGAATGAAAAGACAGAGTCCTGATACAAATGCAGGGCCTGAATGTTTAACTAGCTTTCATACTGAACCCCATTGATCTACACAGATTGGATCCTGTTTCATGCATCCAGTTTGTACCCATGCAAGCTATATTTGATAAGTTCTGTATATTTCAAGTATTTGTAATAAAACAGTAACTTGTTCTGTAAACAGACATTTTAGTTTAATCCAACTTGAAAAAGCCATTCTTCCTCCAACAGCATTGTTTATACTCACTGTTTTCAGATAATTCCAAAATAACACTGTAGCTGTAAAATGCAGACAAATTTAGGGAAGAAAAAGGTTTCCATGGTATTATGAATCCTACAAATTCTCTCAACACTCTGACACCGAAAATACAATAATACAACAAAGTAGAACTCTATACATAGTGGAGACACACACACTGAGACTATTTTAGATGCTCTGCCTATATATTGAGAAGATCTCTGTGGCTACATAAAACCCCCCAGATTCCTAGAAAGCCACTTTTAAGTTATTTAAACTGTTCTATTATGAGTCTTCATGAAGATAGTCAGTACTTAATTAAATGCCAAACACTGCATTTGCTGAGTCAGACGTACTTGCCTTATTTTTAAGCCTACTGCAGTACCGTCGTATTAAATTTCATACAAGCAACCACATCACTTCCATTAAATTCCAGAACACACAGTGCAAGGTCTGTTCCAAGCACCTGGACACCAATGAACATTTCAGTATAAATGCTGTAACTTGTGAGTTAAAGGAATTTTTATTGGGCAGTGACTGTGGCAAAAGGTGAACATAAACCTGTATCTTAATGTAAAGTCTGCTGCTTGGTACAGGAATTCACAGCAATATACATTCACAACTACATTTTTACTTATTTACTTAAAATTCCTTATGTGTAATACAACCTCCTGCATACTAGTGCCTACTAAATCAACACTAGCTGAGTGTATCAGCAGAAGCATAGTTTCCAAAACTCACGACAGGATATTTCAAGAGGAAAATCAAGACATCTTAAATTCACACCTTCCAACAGAATATAAGTTCATCCTACTTTAGGAAACCATGCAAAGCTCATCTGATCCAGTTTTTGAATTGTTTTACCACAATCTAGAGTCTCTGTTATGCTGCCACTTTGCATACATGCTTGAAGTGTAGCACTCTGACCTCCACAAATGGTATGACAAAATATAACATACATAAGATTCAGAATAACTTCTTAATACCTCTTAATAACAAACATCTTTGCCAGCAATAAAATTCAGCTCAGTGATCCTGGAACTGCAAGTTATAAAGGTCTTTCATAAATCAAGTTAAAGATAGACTGATCCAAGATTAGCAATACAGAGATATAGCCATATACATGCTGAGTGACTGGATAAAGACAAAACAAACTGCTTTAGAAAAAAATTTTCCAGAGTTAACATAAGAGGACACACAGAAACTTAACATTCAGGTTCCCAAATTCACAACTAAATTTCACCAAAACTACAAGGTGGTCATACATAATTTAATATCAGAAGTGTGATACTTAACCAAACAGATTTTGAGGAAATACCAATTTTTAAGAGTGATTATACATTAGTAGCAGGCATTCATTTCTATTTATTAATTTTCCTCCCCTCATAATTAACTGTTAATCAAACCCTCAACAGTACCCAAATCTATCAAAGTACACAGATTAGATTTTCCAGACTGCTGAGCTCACAAAACCGCTTCAAAGTTTTATGGCAACAGTCATTAAGCAAGCTCTTTCATGTCATATGTCATATTTCAGCTTCTATCCACTATGGCATCTTATTTTGAAAATAAGAACATTTGAGAAAGTTTGATTGCACTATATTACTGACCAAGTCAGTTACTGAAGAACTGCAGAACATAAGTATTCAGAGTTAAATACATTACCTTTAAGACATGAAAAGCCATCTCTAGTCAAGGCTTGTCCCTTTACCCAAGTCATAAATTATCAGATAAATACAAAGAAGTTGCAAAATTGCAGCTTGGGATTTAGAATGACTGCAAATACGTCCTTTATAAAGCACACACATATCGTACAGCTGATTCTAATTAAAGAATACACTGACTGAACATGTCAGTCTTGGGTGTCATCAGTAATCCTATAATCCTGTAATAAAGTCTCTTTTAGACCAAACTAGTATCTAGAATTATTTCCAAGTGATCCAGATTGTGAAAACAAGCTGTGTAGGCAGAAGAAAAATTAGCTACGCTTCCCCCCCCCCCCCC